ATAATAAATATTTTTTTCTGTGGTGGAGTAAGGAAAAATGTGACAGTTATTCTGAGTGGTGTCTGTGATTATAGTTCAATCTAGGAGAAAAAGATATTGTTGATTACACTTCGATGAATTACAGGTAGTCCTCGATTTATAACCACAAATTGAGCTCAAAATTTTTGTTGCTAAGTGAAACATTTGTTAAGTGAGTTTTGATCCATTTTACAACTTGCCAGTGTTGTTAAGTGAATCATTGCATTTGTTAAGTTGGTAACACAGTTGTTAAGTGAATCTGGCTTCCAAATTGGCTTTGCTTGTTAGAAGGTTGCAAAAGCTGATCACATGATCCCAGGACACAGCAACTCATAAATATGAATTAGTTGCCAAGTGTCTGAATTTTGTCAACATGACTATGGGGATGCTGCAATGGTCATGTGTGAAAAAGTGGTCATAATCACTTTTTTCAGTGCCGTTGTAATTTTGAATGGTCACTAAATGAAGTGTTGTAAATCAAGAACTACGTGTATTTAACAGATCTTTTAAAAATACATTTTTATAAAGCCTGATTTGAGTTAACTACAAATTTGAAATGAATTATTCTAGTGTTCGATACAGTGTGTCCTAAGTTTGCTATAAAGTCTCATAAAGTTAAATGTCTGATATATACAGAAGCAAACTAAAGCTAATAGCAGAATTCTTTCACAGACAGGAGAGCTTCCCAATTCATATCGTCTCATTAGTATTGTAAGTCACATTGGAGATACATCCTCCTCAGGTAAGAAAAAGGCTGTGCTTTTGATCCTTATTGTTTTTCAAAGTTGTGTTTGGAGGCCTTTTCAAGTAACCAGAATTCAAAATGAAGAAAGAAATGCAATTAAAAAGTTGATTTTGTATGCTTGATTTTAATCTATCCATCTGTCCCATCCATCATATTTATATGGCTGCCTATCTCACAAAACATGACTCTGGGCAACTTAAATAAACACTATAAAATTAATATAAAAAACAACCAACAGTTAGCAAATGTTGATATTATGATTAAAAACAGTTTCCAGACAAGTTCTACAGAGTGAGAGGTACCATTAAACAATTTGTTATTAATCAATAAATCTGGCATATAAAAAGATGTTGAAGCACAGTAAAAATGAGTCAAATTTAAAATAATAAAAGCAAATTTGTGTGCAGAGGATGTCATTTATTAGATACTTCAGCCTGTATATTTCTGCATGAAAGACACCAGAAGCCCAAATGTTACAAGGGGCCTGCCTTCTCTGCCATAGCACCTTCCCTATGGAACATTCTCTCTGTAGCGATTAGGATGGCTGGTCTTTTGTAAGGCCCTAAGGACTTGGAGCTCCAAGTGTGTGAAGGCCTCATCTAGTTGTGGTATCTTCCTCAACTATTGTGTATTTTAATTTTTTATATTTGTAACAGGATTTTTTTTTTAAAGTTTGAAACAGTTCGCCTGTCAAACTCACTTATTGAGATGGATAGCACACGAATGAATGAATAAATAATTCTTTTTGTCTGTTTCATTATGTTTAAGGTCACTATATTAGTGATGTATATGACATTCGCAAGCAAGCATGGTTCACGTATAATGACCTGGCAGTATCAAGAACTCAAGAGGCCTCTGTCCAGAGTGATAGAGACCGAAGTGGCTATATCTTCTTCTATATGCACAAGTAAATATTTTTATATTATTTACTGTTTGCATGTTTTATTTCATTTCCATCCTTGTGAAAAGATGAAAAATACTCCTCACCCTCCCCCCCCCCCCCCATTTCCTAGCTCTTGCATGTTTTTTTCAGTATGAAAATTGTAGGAAACTGAAGTTTACAGCTGTTGCAGGGAGAATATTGTGTTAACATAGCCTTCTACCGTGTTATTTATGTAAAGAACTGAATAGACAAGGTGGAAGACGATATTACTGAAACCTACACTGTAGAATCGTGGGTTTTATTCAGATTTTCAGCTTGTGCATCTTGTGGAAAAATACCAGAATGAAGACCAGTTAACAAGAAATAGTTCTTAGAACAAGGGATGAGTTCTTTGTGAATTCTTTAGGGACTGGAGAGGTACCAGGCTCAAGAAGAGTCTCCAACTGGAATTAGTCAAGTATTGGCAAAAGTATTATAGTAATTTGGAGCCATCACACGAACTGGGGTATTGCAATAAGGGCTTTTGGTATTGACTCTTTAAGAATTCATACCAAGCCTGACCAGCTGGATTTTGAATCATGAAATAAAAGTTTGGGTGTGTAACAGAGAAAGAGATAAACAAAGAGTTTACGTTTTTAATTCAGAAAACAAACCTGCATTTTTTCCAGATGTCCTTATGAACATCTCTGTGACTGTATAAGAAGCTAGATTATACTGTACCATGTAGAATCTCTATTACTTCTTTCAAAACATTCCTTTTAAGTGCCATCTTGGGTACATCACATGCCTTGGCTGCTCTGTATAGATTCTCTTAGGTTCCTAATGTGTTCTGTTCTCTAGGGATATATTGGATGAATTGCTTGAAACAGAAAAGAACCCGCAACTGCCTGGCACAGAAGTGGGGAGGCCAGTCTGAAGAACAACCCTTTACCTGAGCACAAAAGAGTTAAGAACTTTTGCCTAATGCACAGGAGACGCAAACCTGAAGACTTCAGGGCATAGTTGAGAGACACGCTGCTTCAGATATGAAAGGGCCATTCCACCCCTTTCTTTGACTTCAGCAGTTAATCTTCTGTTATCCTGATTTCTTTTTATTGTTTGGGTTTTGTTCTCTGTTGAGCTACTCAAATAATTTTATCTGCAGTGGAGACGATCAAGCTACAGAATTTAAAAACTTCTTCCAAAACTTATAAAAGCATAGTATGAGAGAAGACCACAAGATCACCTGTTATTAACAAATAGAGAAGGCCTCATACATAGGTTGACTTTCTTCCTACAGAAGAAGAAGGGGGAGAAAAAAGCATAAGCTATACTACAGTTATACAATGCCCTGGAAAGCGCAAGTGGCTGATTGGTTAAATGGAAGGATCCGTCTTTTGCTAAAACAAATGGACTTAAATACCTATGATTTGTAACACTCCAGAATCCTTCATTTTCATCACTTCAAATAATATATACATATATGTATATTTTAACTTTTTAAAATTTTTATTCTTTCTGAAGGCATTAGTTTCCAAGTACTGTCATTTAGTTCCCTTTGCCCTTGAGTGCATGGGTGTGTATATATATCTCTATATTTCTTGTGTTTCATGGAAAAGTTGCACTGGTTGGGTGGTGATCGATCGGCAGTCCCTTTCCAAGCTGATGCTAATCAGTGAATGAAACAGAAATAGTTCAATTCTGCACTGGCCTGTGCACTGTGCTTGAAAGTGGGCAAGTAATATGGTAACAGGAACATGGAAATATAACTGAGTTTCGTCTCGTGGGGTTGATAAAAAATAACTCTTAAATGATTAGCATTTGCAAGATTTTTCAGAGCAGCAGTAGAGGAGTTTACACACTTAAAAGTGTTTGAATAACTTGCTTATATTGGCAAAAATTATATAGAAATTACTTGTGCCCAACCCTCATTTCAGTGTTGGAAGTTAATAACTATTATCCCATTTTCACTTTCATAGCAATGAAATTGCTAATAATTGAGATGTTTCTTGATTTGCTTCATAGTAAAAATATTTTCTTTGAAAAAGATAGCAGCTACATGGGAAAATGTATTTTACCCCTACTTGTTGGGGATTTTTCTGTTCTTTACTATTAGAACCTTCTGACACTATGTTTTGAGAATAGACATGAGTCACATAGACAATATAATTATTTGTTGATGAAAGGTTTAAAGATTATTGATAATTCAGGCAGTATTGGAGAACTCTAAATACATAAATATAGAAGATACCAACAGAGTAAAATGCTATCTGATGTAGAAGATAAAGTTCTCAAAAACTACACTGCACCAAAGCATAATATGCTAACTTCTGTCATAATTTTGTACTGTTCACAAAGGTATTTCAGTGTGTTTTTAACAAAGAATAAAGAGATTTTCTTTCTAAAGAAGAGTATCTCAGAATGTGATAGTCTTGATTCTAGAGTAAGGCTAGCTCTCTGTTAATGAAAAAACCCTTCAGACATTTGACAGAAGCTGAAAAGAAGCTGCATTTCTATTTGCTTGAGAAGTTATTGGTACAATTCAGGAAAAAGCAGGATTTGTAGTGCACTGATAGCTGAACTTCCATTCAAGTGAATGGTACTGAGTCATTGGTCCATCCTCTGCCCCACCCAACTCCAGATACATCCTAGATTTCCTTATGAATGGACTCTGTGGGGTGGTGGTATTTTTCTTCAGTGCTTGTGGTCTCTTGAGAAGGGGCTGTGGAGAGTTGACGCCTTTAAATATAAGGGGAGGTGGCAAACTCAGATTCAGGAGAAAATTAAAAGTACTGTATATTTTGGAGTATAAGATGCACCTAGCTTTGGGGGAGGAAAACAAGAAAAAAAATCTGCCTCTGCCTCCAAGAATTTGTTTCCTTGCAGCAAACAGCCTGTTTCTGCTTCAGCACAGCCTGATTAGCACAAACAGCTGACTGTTGGTTGGATCGGCCTCCCGACAATCAGCTGTTTCAGGCTGCAGGGATTGCCATTGCCGATTGCCGCCTCTGTGCGCCCCATTTTCGGCCTCTGCATTCCATTTTCAGCTTCTGCATGCCCTGTTTTTGGCTTCCACACGCCCCATTTTCACCCCAGGTGTTGGGGATCAGAACCGGTGGAAAAAGGGGCGTGCTGAGGCCAAAAATGGGGTGCGGAGGCCAAAAATGGGGCACGCGGAGGTAGCAATAGGCAGTGGCAATCCCTGCAGCCTGAAACAGCTGATTGTCAGCAGGCCAATCCAACCGACAATCAGCTGCTTGTGCTAATCAGGCTGTGCTGAAGCTGAAAAAGGCAGTTTGCTGCAAGGAGGCAAATTGCTGGGAGGCAGAGGATGGCGGGTGGGGACTGGCAGGTGGGTGGGGCTTTGATAACATTCGCTGTATAAGACAGATATTTCCACCCATTTTGGGGGGTGGAAAAAGCGTCTTATACTTCAAAAAATACAGTACATCTCCCATTCTCCCTTCTGGCAGAAGGTGGTGTTAGCTTTCATTTCCTGCTCTGAATGGAAGGGTCTTATACAACCCATTGTAATTATGCAGTTATGTTTTTGGTTCCATACTTAACAGTGAAGCCAAATTAACTAATATATATGCAGTTTCTAATTTGGTGTCTTCTATAATAGAATGCAGAATTGCCCTTAGTGTGTAACGACTGATTTGCTTCATCTAAACCTGAAAAGTATGTAGCCTGAGATAAATTTATATACCTTTGGAAGAAGAAAATTCTCATTCAGTAAGAAATGGTGACTGTTACATCCTGCCTGGTTTGCATTTTACAAATCAGATCAAATTCTGTGGCAATGCAATGAATTTGTGCTACAGTTCATCTAAGTTTTAATATTTAACTCTGACACTGATGACCATACTGGATTATATTTAAGCCCTCATATTAAATGGTTTATCATATTTCTGTTTGAGAAATTATACCAAGGAACCTGGAAAATCTCTTGGGAACCTGAACTGCAGCTGCTAGTATTTTTTTAAAAAATGCTTGTTTAAAAAAACAACTGGATTTAGTTATACTATGTTTCTGAAACAGCATGATATGGCACAACTCTAGACATCTTAATTCTAGGATTATTGATTTTAGATTTTGAAATGAGGCCTAAAAGTTCATCCAGTAGTGGATGAACTTCAGTGTATTTTAAATTCCTCTCTTCCTTTCCACTTATACCTGTCAAATCTTTTTCCTGCACTTATTTTTTATACAAGAAATAGCCATAACATGTTTGCACTAAATAACTAAATTCTTCTCAAAAGTGAATCAAACCTTGTGCGTACGTGACATTTAAAAGTAGCTCAGGTAGCTTACTTTAAAAAAACAACAAAAGTTTAGAATTCTGCAATTATAGAATATTAAGCAGCATTGCTTCTGTTTGGATAAAACCTAATATTCATACGTGACAAGGTGCAAACGTTTCAGGGACATTTCTCTATTCTGAGATGCCTTTTCACATTCTGAGGACCTGACAGCATTTAAGGATGGCTCTCTGTATTATGAGTCTTTGTTGCTAGATGTGCTAAGAGAAAGCTGCTTGCATTGCAACAAAGTAAAAGGCAAAATAATTGTTTTTATATTGCATAAAATTAATATTTCACGATGAACTGAATATTCTGGAAAAAAAGATCGCCATGTGTTCCTGAAAAAGAACAGTTAGGGTGCTTTTTAAAACTAACCCGAAATAGAGAATTAATAGCCCATGAATGAAAATCAAAGAAAGTTCATAACACTTTGCTGTTGACCTGCAGCAGTAACCTACTCCTTTGGTTTTACTTTAAGAAGTTACTTTGTAAAATCTTGGTGGAACAAATGAAAATGACAAGGGTTTCTTAGGTGCATTGAGAAGATTGCTTTGATTATATGTTGGGAATCACTTTGTATCCCTTGACATAATGTGGAGCAGCAGTTTTCTGTGTTTTAGCAGACCTGTTCTTCTCTTCCTCAAAATTCTGCTTTTATTCTTTCTTTTTAAATAATGTGTAGATCAATTTCTGAGAAATTAAACGCTCTTTATTAATGCCGAATCTGATTTTTCTTTCCAGAGCAATGCAGTGCCTTACTACTTTTCTATTTGTCCTTACTGCCATTTGATTGCTGTTTTTCCTCCACAAAATTGGCACTACAAAAATCATGGTATTTTTTTCACGTTGATTTTGCTTAGATATTCCACATTTTTAATTAATTTAAAATCTGTTCTTGTTTGTTTTAAAAGTACATAACTGTGTTGGAGAAGATTTCACTGTATATTTAAAAAGATACTAAAATTCATTATGGAAAAGAAATGTCCATTAGCATTGGGGTCCTTAATTTTCAATAGCTGTCATTCTCTGAAGGTAAAATTACTATTGTAAGCTGCAAAATGTCAATCCCGTTTGCTTTTTCTTTGAGGACAGATTATTTCTGCCAAATGGACTAGGTATAGTGTTAACTTTAAACTATATTTACAATGGCAATGGCCTGATGATAAAATGGCCCAATTCTGTTCAATTCTGTGAGTTAGTGGTGTGGTAACTTGCCGTTTACAAACAAGGATAGCTTCTCAGTTTTTATGAAGAAGATTTATTTGCACTGGGATACATTTCATAAGAGAACAGTGGTTCCATCTGGAATGCCTTCTGTTTTATGGGTCACCTCAAAGACTATTTTGGAGGCATCTTCTTCATTGGCAGTTGAAAACTAACTATAATCATGTAGACAGCTATGATCATAGATAAGAACAGATTAAGGCAGACTTGGAGGGTCAATACTCCTGGACTGTTATATTTACTTCTATTGGCAAAGCTGTGTTTTTAAGCAGCATAAATTACCTGCTTTTTAAGTCGTTTCTGGCCAGGTTACAAGATTGCAATGTCCTTGCATCGATTTTGGTCCAAAGTGTTTTTAAAATTCCAAATAGGAAAATCTTTCAAGGGCAGTTGAATCAGAAAAGTAGCACTGATTCGCTCAGGGAGTCTCCCCAGATTGGACAAAATAATTGAGAGTAACTGGAGTGTGAGAAAGAGGCAGTTGAGAGATTGCAAAAGAAAGTGCTACAGCATGTGCAAAAGGGAGATAAACAAGAGCAATCATCAATGGGTGGAGAATTGGCACACCTGACTTGTGGTGCAAATAGGGGTTCCCTATAAAAAGAGGCAGTTGGAAAATTGTCATTCAACAAGTGAGGTTTTGATAGCAAAATGTATGGGCCTCATTCAAAATCCACCCCAGCTCAACCTCCTTTTAGGAAAAATGGTGGTGGCTTTTTTTTTTCTGTCTTCCACTAGCAGGAAATCCACCAATTGCTTTCCTGTACCTGTTCCACAATAAAGTTTTAGGGCAGCCCCATTTGCCAGCTTTATCACTAAGTCAGATTGGAATTTGGCTATTGAGAAAGTAAATGATTCCAACATAGTTTTGGGCAGCTTCATAACTGGAAGAAAGTATGTTAAAGCAGCTGTTCTGAGTCTGCACTAAGATTATCTATACTTTTTTTTAAAAAAAGGAAGCCCTTTTGTCTTTGAAAAACTGCTAGTAGAAAATTCTGAATGCTTCCGTTATCAAGCTTTTACCAAAAATGACATTAAGGTCTGCAATGGCTGAAAATAATGGCAGGCATATTTCCATTTAGAAAAGTCCTTTTTCCTTCTTGAGAGACATTTGTTTCCATGAAGCCAGTCCTGCAAAATCCCGTTGGGACATTCCAAAGATCTGAAAAAAATCATCCTCTGACAAGTATTGCTGTGGAATGGAAGAAAAGCACATATGTGATAAGTGTCAGCTAGTCTTATAAACAGCAAGAAAAGTAAATGAAGTAGATGGGGTGTCAAACTCGCATCCTCATGGTAGCGTCATGTGACGTATCGGGACTTTTTCCCCTTTGCTAAACCAGGCGGGATGGGGCCAGCATGTGATGCATCTGGCCTACGGGCCATGAGTTTGACACCCCTGAAGTACTGTATATTATTAAATATAAGGCGTTTTTTCCCCCCGAATCACGATGGAAGTAACATTTCTATTCTAGTATGGTTTTGCATAATTCTTTGTAAGCTGCACTTGCCAAGTGTGTGTTTGCAGGCATTAAAATCACAGCAAAGATCAAATGTTTACGCGTACACCAAACTAAAGTGAGAATATTCTCATTTTGTTTCATTCATGTTTTACTCACATTTATTTTTAACATTTCTGAACCACCTATCTCAAAGAGGGACTCTGAACAGTGTACAATAAAATGTCAAAATATATTTTAAAAAGTACAGGTAATTCTTGACTTAACAATAGTTCATTTAGTGACTATTCAAAGTTACGATGACACTGAAAAAAGTGACTTATGACCATTTTTCACACTTATGACCATTTGCAGCATCCTTGTGGTCATGTGATCAGAATTAGGATGCTTGGTAGCTGACTAATATTTATGACTGTTGCAGTGTCCCTGTGGTCATGTGATTACACTTTGCGGCCTCCTGGCAAGCAAAGTCAATGGGGAAGCAAGATTCACTTAACAACTGTGACAAGAAAGGTCGTAAAATGGGGCAAAATGCACAATTGTCTCAGCAACATAAATTTTGGGCTCAATTGTCACAAATCGAGGACTACTAGGTCCATGAAATCTAAAACGTTTGAATTAAACTTTTAAAGTTAAACATTTTAGGAGGAGGCAAGAATAGTGCTTTAACTTCATATCAGAGTAAAGAAAGTTCCCAAAGCCATTTAATAAACTTCGTAACGAGCAACTGTTTTTTATCCTGGATTTTCAGCAAATATCAACAATTCCTCTTGAAATGCCCTCACTGTCCCCATGGAAACTCTGACTATAGCCTTCTGATCTCTCACCTCCTTCCGGCTGGGATCTATGTCCTTGGGAAGGTCTTCTGGAGCGACATTCACCAATTTCTCCAAGGGGTATGTAGAGAATGACAACTTGCCAAAAGTTGTCTTGGCAGTAAATATTTCTTTTCCTTCCAAGATTTCCTGAAATAGAAAAAGGGGAAGCCCCCAAAGCTATTCCCATGTCCATTTTGTCCTTATTTAAATTCGATTTTAAAAAAAGAGTTACAGGCTGGGCTTTTCTAAATTGACTCTTTTTAACATAGATAGGAGGGGCTGTGTATTTGAAAAGGGACAATGCAGTGCAAATGACCAATGAATAGGTTGTGGTTGAGGAACTTTTTGTGAGAATCATTTAGAGTGTCCTTTTTAAAAACAAGTGAGTGTCCGACGCAACGTAAAAAGGCAATTTTGTGCTAAAGAGTTGCAGCATCATGGAGTCATTCAGTAAGTGTAAATAGTGAGATCAAGAAGATGGACTGTATGAATTAACAGGCCCCGATGCATTATAAGTTGAATGAAAAAAAACCCATGGCTGTCTCAGTCAAAAACCTTTCAGAGTATTTTTGTAGATTATCAATGCCTAGGCCATGGAACATAGAGTTGGAAATTAGAATCCTTAACAAATTATAATTATTCTGTGTCTCAGTCTTGTTTTGCATTTCCTGTACAGGTTTCCTTGTTTAGCAGCTGCCTTTTTAGTGGCTGCAATTATGATGGTGATGAAAAAGTAACTTTGTGATCAGTTCCCATACTTATGCCCTTCTCAGGTCTGTAAAGCGAAGAAAAATGGAAGTAAGATCATAAGCACAGTTCCGGTTTTACTTAGTGACCACTTCATTTAACAACCAAGATACCAGTTCTAATTGTCACTAACTGAGGACCATCAATATTCATGAAAAATTATTTTAGGTTTAAGAATAAATCTCCTGAATGTTTATGGAGTCCTCAATATTGCTTGAATGGTGATGGGAAATTTGTATGCATTTAATATACAATTGTCAGAGTTGTAATTTTTATATTTTCTTCCATTTCACTGACTTCCCTGCTACCTTTGCACTGTCCCTCCAAAGTGGCATAAGTATACCAACAAATACATGAATATAATAAGATTTGATGCCCCAGGTGAAAAATGTGCTCTTAGGAGTCCCAAAGGTGTTTTTTCTTTTTTCTTGAAAGCATTTTGTTTCTCATCCAATAAGCTTTTTCAGTACTGACTGTCAGAACTGAACAAACTTCTTGGATGAGAAGCAAAATGTCTTCAAGGAAAAATAAAGTCCAATTGCCTTTTGAAAAAGTACCTTTGGAACAACCATGACCTGGATGACTTGAGTTTTTAGTTCATCAAAGTTTTTGCCGAATGTTTAAATTTTTAAAATAGTCCAACATTTCTTGTTCATTGTATGCTATAAGAGAAAGTTCCAAATCTGAAAAATTAGTTGTAAACTAAGGCCCAGCGTTTTTTGCTTTAAGAATAGATTTGGTTCATATTCCTTCACTTTTCTCTTCAACTGAAAGTAGATCAATGCAGGCTTCACTTCTTTACAGGCACTGAAATAATTTGAAAGAGGATTTCCTATTCTTTTCATAGTGGAAAGCTGCACGGTATCTTGCTGTTAACACTCTGTGCTACTGCTCACCTTACCAGCCATACTTACAGAAGTGAGTTGGTCAAGGCTGTCCTCATCGGCAAGTTCAGCTTTCAGTTCTTCATAGGTTTTCTTGTCCTGCAGGGAGACAGGCAGAATGTTGTTTTTTTTTACTTTATAACTGAAAGCTTGGGCAATGAAAATATGCTACAGACTTTCTCAAAGAAGAACGTTGAGATTCTGAGAAGGAATAGGTCACGTTTCTTCACGCATGGTACAGGCAGCTACCTTTTCCAAGTCAAAAGAAGAACCTTTTGTCACTTACGGTCCATTTGAGAGGATCCCATGCTACAAACCAGCCAGTGAATGTTGGAGGTTCGTTGCCCTGTTTCACAATCACAATTGGAGTTTCTGGGTCCCGACAGCCTGGGTGAGTCCGCAGGTATTCTTGGGCGGTGACAGCCGCTGCTTCTTTCTCAGCCTCGTTTGCATCTTTACCAATCCAGAAGTAAACCTACGCGGGGGAAAATGTCTCTCTGATCATTAAAAAAACTATGTAGCTTGGACCACTGTTCCAAGATTAGAATTACCGTGCTGAAAATGAATCCAGGTATGAGGAACAAGCCCATGCAAGCATAAAACTCAGGTCAGAATTACATAGAATTAAAGCTGTAAAGACAGAACCTTATAAAAGAGGGTTTTTTTAAAAAAAAATCAGCTAAATCCATATTAATGTAAATAATTGAAAAACTCTTTTCTAGAACCTAGTAAGGATAATCTTCAAAACAACTGTTCCATCCCATCTCCAAATTTCCATCTGCCTCTTCTCTAAGCAAGAATGTACATTATTTGGGGAATTAAGATGGAATCTGGCAACACTAAATATAACACATTTAACAAATTAATAGCGAAAGTGACTTTCTGGTATTAATTAAAAAGAGTTAAAGTCTTTCAACAAACATTGGCTGGAAGTATGTTTGTTACAAATTGGAAGGCAGCTTGCATTAATTGAGAATGTGGTAATAAAAGGATATTTATGTCAACAGGAAGTCAAGAGAAGCAAATAATAAAAGAGTGTTTGGAATGGAAGCAAGAAAGTAGATAAAACCACTACCATGACTTTCTTCAAGAGAATCCAAAATACTAGCTCTACCTGCCTCTTCCCCTCCTTCAGGTACACAGGGAAAATTTATGTGATGGAAATAGGTATAAATTTAAGGGGAGCAATTGGGATTCTGAAGCAGTGAAGTATACATTAATTAGAATTAGAATTAGAATTAGAATAGAATAGAATAGAATAGAATAGAATAGAATAGAATAGAATAGAATAGAATTCTTTTATTGGCCAAGTGTGATTGGACAAACAAGGAATTTGTCTTGGTGCAAATGCTCTCAGTGTACATAAAAGATACATTCATCAAGAGTCAAGAATCATCAGGTATGACACTTAATGATAGTCATAGGGTACAATAAGGAATCAAATCATACTAAGAAACAATTTAAATTGTAAGATTGCAAGCGACCAAGTGACAGTCATACAGTCACAAGTGGGAAGGGATGGGCAATAAGGAGTGATGAGACAATAATAGTAATGTAGACTTTGTAAATAGTTGGACAGTGTTGAGGGAATTATTTGTTTAGCAGAGTGATGGTGTTTGGCAAAAAACTGTCCTTGTGTCTAGTTATTCTGGTCTGCAGTGCTCTATAGCGTCGCTTTGAGGGTAGGAGTTGAAACAGTTTATGTCAGGGAAGTGAGGGGGTCTGTAAATATTTTCACAGCCGTCTTTGATTCATGCAGTATACAGGTCCTTGATTGAAGGCAGGTTGGTAGTAATTTTTTTTTCTGCAGTCCAAATTATCCTCTGAACTCTGTGTCTGTCTTGTTGGGTTGCAGAACCAAACCAGACAGCTATAGAAGTACAGATGACAGACTCAATAATTCCTCTGTGGAACTGTATCAGCAGCTCCTTGGGCAATTCTTCCTGTTAGACATTCACCCTCCATAAATACAAAGTTGCTTTAATAGGTCAGAGTAAGAATTAAAGATTCTTACTTATGTACATCTTCTGGTGAATGAATAAAGCACCCATCACACGCATTCACAAAGATACACAAACACTGCTGACCGGTGAATCCTAAGCTTTGATAAGGGGTTGATTTTTGTTTTGTTTGGTGGCTTTACCCGTCAGGTAACTGCACAATTTAACAACTTGACTCTTGCAACCAGTTCTACAAAGAAGAAAATGTATGATCTATTTCTGAAAAAGATCTTTGGTGCCTATATTCCACTGGTGGCAGTGTTAGAAATGGTCTGCAGACTCAGGATGCTTAAGAGTTGTGGGGTTTTTTTCCCTGTTAAATTAGCAGTTGAATGCTTTCCATTTTTATTTTTGGATTCATTTGTCTGTATATAGGATAGCATAAAATAAGGCAGAGCCTGGCTCCTGCAATGATACTGTGGCTTTTTTATTGGCTTTTACATAGGTTTTGGAGAAGAATCCACTGATTTCATTTGAAACAGACATATTTTGCCAATTCTATGACAGGGATAGGCTATCTTTTTTTCAAGCCCAGCTACTCTTGTCAAAGATGATGTGTGTTAGGCTTATTGGAGATTACACTTATTTTATTACATGTTGCCATGGAAAATTTTGCCTCTGTGATCTGGCAATTAACTGAATTTCAATTGTGACAATCTCCACAGGGTCCAGAAAAGGAGAAATAAGGATTATTATTATGCAGGTGTTCCTTGAGGTGCCCACTGCTGCTATACAGTGGAAAAAGCAGAAAGGGAATTGGTGTTTGATACCAGTGAATAATTCCAATAAGCATTCTCTTCCTAAGCTGGGGGTGGTGGTAGGGAAACAGTTTATGAGATAGAAGTGAGAACTGTGGGAAAAAAAAAGCGGAAGTGATGAAGAGTGAGAGGAAGAGAATATTCTGTTCTAAAAGTTCTTTGACAATATAGCACAGGCAACTGCAAATCAAGTGCGGACTATATTAGTAATCGGATCAGATGTGATGTGGGTGGGCATGCAAATTGCTCAATAATAGGAGGGGCACCTTGGATTCAATTATTTCTGAAAGAAAAACGGTCACTGTGGATAAATGTCTTCCTCTTTCTGTTGCACCTTCCATGTTCATACCCACCTGGTCCCAGGCATCCAGCAAGAACACATCATCTTGTTCTAGATCATCCTGAGTAAAATTGGTGAGCTCCGTGGCAAGGAACTTGCCTGTCTTATTGGAACACTCAAAGAGCCGAGGCGTGATCGAAACAGTTTCTTCTTGCAATCTGCGTAAGATAGATAAAGCAACTCGAGGTGCTGATGGAACAACCTCCTGGCAGATATGGGGGAAATTATGATGCAGGATTTCCCCACTCAGCAGCATTGAAAGGGGTGCCGCCTAGAGCAGAGAGGTGGCAGGGCAGAAAATGATGGAGAGTTCTCTGCTCAAACTCTTTTCTATTCAACCACAATCACAGCCCCAGTTTTCATGAATGAAACAGAATGTTTATGAAGTCACTCCTTGAATCGGACCTCCTCAAACTGACTACAGCCCATGGGTCACTTCTTCACTATTGTTCCCCTTCTTCCCTTTTTGAATTCCAACAGAATTGCCTTTCATCAAGACATTAGCTAAAAACTCAACTGGCTCTCAAGAGTCCAAAACGTGGCACTTATTCGGCTGGCTTTGAAGGTGTTGTTTTTTAAAGAGACCATGTAGATGTAATCCCCAGACGGTGTTCTGGAGTTCTGTCTGAAGATGACATTTTTGGCTGTTGTATCCAATTCTGGCCTTATCACTAAGAAAGACTATGGCTTGGCTATGGAGGTTCAGAAACCGATGTGGTTAAACAGAAGGTTTAAGGAGGGGACAGGATCAATGGTGGCCTTTTAGCTGTAGAACTAAAACTCCCAGCATCCCATATATCCCATAGGTTGGAAAAGTTGAGAATTGTAGTGATAGGCCAGAGTTTCAGCCACCCATGGTGTAGCCTGAGCAAACAGCAGTAGCAATTAGCACTTAGACTTATACACCACTCCATAGTGCTTTTACAGCCCTCTCTGGGCAGTTTACAGAGTCAGCCTCTTGCCCCCAACAATCTAGGTTCTCATTTTACCGCTCTCTGAAGGATGGAAGGCTGAGTCAACCTTGAGCCCGTCAGGACCGATCTCCTGGCAGTCTGCAGAGTTGGCCTGCAATACTGCATTCTAACCCCTGAGCCACCGCTGCAAATGTTGTTTGCACAGCACTAGAGCAGATTGCTCCTCCCCTCTTCCCCTCTCCCCCTTCTCCAGATGCTTGGAAGATGTTACCTTTTGTTGCTGGCATACTGAGACTTCCCACCTAGTGCAACCCAGAATGCTGCAGGCTCCTGGCCTTCTGCTACCACAACTTTCTCTGTCCTGGAGATCAGGTCGGAAACACTCTTGGCCATCTCTCGCTCGTCCCCACTGCAGCCCTGTGGAAGGAACCAATGTGGTAAATTGTGAAAATGATCAGGGAGGATCTGAACTGTGCTATTTTTTAAGCCATACCTTGCCTGTTTCTTTCCAGCTTGAGGTTTAGATGCCAGTTATGGTCTCCCTTCTCATAGCAGGAAACTATGGCCCTTAGAAATTACTACCCACCCACTAACTTAGTCCTTGGTTGATGTCCTTGTTTATTAAGTTCTACTGTCTTGCATGCAGTACTAAAATTAGGGCTTCTGTGCTTATTTCTAATGCATGAGCTTCCCCATCATGGTACAGTACCTACCTTACCGTACCAGAGGTAACAGCAACTCTGGGTTTTAAGAATGAAGACATCATTGGAATTGAGGGAGGAAGCTCTGGGAGACACCTCCAAAGCCTTGGTGTTGTATTCATTAGTCCCATGAACTTGGAAAAGACGGGTGGGAGGTTCTGGTTCTGTATTACCAGCTCGGGAAGTACCACCCTGGGGAAGAAGGCAAAAGAAAAAAAAATAGAAACTAAATGCAGACAATAGAGCTGAGTACTGTACCTTCTACTTATCAATATCCCAAGTTTCCCCCGTTCATCTCTCATTTTCTTTCAAAACAGAAAATGTATTCAGGAGTAAAAAAAAAACCCCATCCCTTTGACAGAAGTATGTTAGTAAATAAATCTGGCTCTGGAAATTGCTGTCTGGAACAATCACTCCCTTCCTTCCTTCCTTCCTTCCTTCCTTCCTTCCTTCCTTCCTTCCTTCCTTCCTTCCTTCCTCCCTCCCTCCCTCCCTCCCTCCATATCTAGTTAGAAGAAGACAAAGTGCTTAATCCTTTGCTACTTGTCATTTTCCCATACTTAACCTGTCCTTTCACTTATCCTATGTGCCAGAAACTGCTACTAACCATAATTGCAATAGCATTTACAGCCCTCTCTAAGCGCTTTACAGAGTCAGCATATTGCCCCCAACAATCTGGGTCTTCATAGCGGTAAGCAAATGGAAATAACTTCCTCCAACAGGAGGACTTATAATAGCATTGTTCAGAAGGAGTCAAATGAGGTTAGAAAAATGCTTAGCAGGACAAGGAAAATGCCTCTATCCCGATGCCATTGCTCAGGCAGAGCCTTTGGGATAACCCATCAGAGATTATCTCCACCACCTCTATGTTAGATCTTATTGGAAAGGGGGGAAATGAAAGCAGGTAAATTATCTTGCAGTCTGCCTCTCCCCTACTTACCGCATACACCACCATGCGTCCTTTGAAAATGGCCATAAGATGAGCAGGTTCCTTGCCCATGGTCACTCGCACCTGCACAGGTTCACCATTATATGTTTGGTCCAGAATGACAGCTTGGTAGGCAGAGGCAGTAATCTCATCCTTGGTGGCATGACGGCCCTGGGGAGCAGAGAGAAAACTCACTGAACCCTTCTGGAGAACATTCCAGTTGTTCCTTCAAAGGATTTCTATTTAAGGAATCTTGGAAACTTTACCATTCTTCACCGTCTGTTGCATTTTATATCTGCATTTAGTGCAGCAGAGGGGCACAACTTTCTTTTGGTAAAGAATCACGTTGGCTTTTTTGAGTGATAAGTGCCAGACCACGGTAAAAAAATAAATTTCATTTTAAATGAATGTACAGTTATCATTGTTCCCAGTACTGGTTCTCTTTCTTGTTAGAAATTACAGTTTCAACTTTTGAAGATGACTATGTGATGCTTAGGTAGCACAGTTCCAAGGTAGTGCATTTCTGATGAATCTCGGGCTTCGTTCTTGACTCGAATTTGCAAATAATTCCTGGACTACATTTGTGCCTTGTGACCAAAGTCATCTTTGGTTAGGATTCTTTCTTAATACTTTACTAAATTTAAGGGAGTAACATTGAATATTTAGAACTAAGGATTATTTTCCTGACAGGGAGAACAATTCATCAGTGAAACAACTTGTCTCCAGAAGTCATAGCTGCTCCATCACTGGAGATTCTCAGGAAAAGATTGGATAATCATTTGTCTGGGATGGTATAAGGGCCTTGAGCAGAGGGTTGGACTAGAAGACCTCTGAGGTCCCTTCCAACCCTATGATTCTATTTCTAAATGAATTCCTGAATGGCATTTGATTCTCAATCTACATCCTCTCTGCCTATGCTTTCATTCTATCTGTTCCTTTCTTGGCATGCTCACCTGCCATATGTAAATGATGTAGTGTATCTTATTATAAACTAAATATTGGTAGAGGATAAGGTAGCAGTCACCACTGTAGAAATGCCCAAAGCTGCGACCCTCCACTGGCACCAGTTCTAAGTTCTCAATTCTCCAAACCTGTCAAGTAAAAAGTACAAAATTAGAGCAAGATGCCTAAAATAGAATCCTTTGTATAACCAATGATGTGGGCAAAGTTAACACGAAGGATCCCCAATAACTGGAAACCAGTCTGATGTCGTCCCCCCCAAACTATAAAAATTACATCCTTCACATTATGAAAAGTGAATCAAATTTTGGAAATTGGGAGTGATAAATATATAGAATAGTGTCGTTTTCAATTGATGATGCTCTACTTATTTTTAAAAGGGCAATAAATTAATTATAGGTGCAAAATGGAACAATCACTGCTTTCATTTAAAACAAATTACCGGTCTATGAAGTCAAATTTAAAATTTGTGGCTACAGTGATGTGCTTCAATATGGATATTTTTGCATAAAGTTTCAGACAAAAGCAGCTCAGTAAATTTCTACTGTCAAGAATACTGGGAAATAAACAACTGCTGTACCGTAGTTGAAGGCTGCTATAAGATTAGGAAAAGTAATTCTGAAACATGCAAATTGAATAAATGAACTTAGAATTAAACCAATGGCTTCCTTACTGCAGATGCTTGATTATCTCCTGGATTAGTGTAGAAGTTTGTTATTTTGCTAAGACCTTTTATTCCTATATTTTTTATCAAACTGTCTTCAATGAATCTAACAGATTCTAACTTTACAGTACAACAAATCTTGCTGATGAGATTGGAATAAAGAAGGTTCTTTATTTCAAAGCAATCAATTGGTCCATGGACTGATACTAATCCCAGATTATCAAGTGGTATACTTTCCCCCTTTACTGGGTAAGTCTTTGTACCTACATGACATAAATGTTGCCACTCCTCAGCTAGTGAAATCACTGATACAGATACTATATTTTATGAGTTTTTTAGGAAAACAAATATATTCTTTACCTGCGTCTCTCCAGAACCATCATCAACCATTTTGTGTTGGGCAGCCAACTCTGGCCTGGCATGCAAACTTGTGGCATCAAACTTCACTTGCTCCACCTTGGCTGTTGTTATGGGGAGACAGAAGGTTAACAGATAGATCAGCTCTTTGGTGCAAGCCCAGTTTATTGCATGAGAGTAGGTAGCAACAAGGTGGAACAGGCTTTGATTGTATGGATGGAATATGTGACAAGGTACTTTAATATAAGTCCTCTACTGTTTGTTACCCTCTAGCTATTGTTCTATTATTCTGAATGCTACAATATAATCATGCCGGCAAAGAACCTGTAGTAAGGAAGGGCTGAGTCCATACTTGACAGAAGTTGCCTCTGCCTAATTGCTCCTCTGCTGTGTACAGACTCCAGCATTTACCTATTTTTCCAACTGTATGAGTCTTCCCAAAGCCAGTGGTTTGATTGTGAATGGTCCATTTCTGAAACAGCTGCCTGAAAACGGCTGATTCAGAGCCATCATTTTCGGTCTCCACACTAGTGGTAGGTGGGTAGTTTTTTGCTTTGATGAAACCCTGAAATGGAAAATAGGAATATTCTCAATAGGAATCATATTCTTCTTTTTCATAGGGAGCCAACAGTTTCATTCAAGAGAACTTACTGGTCTCCACTAAATTATCTAAAATAGAAACTTCTTTATAACAGAAAAAATCGCTTCCAATAAAGCATATATTTAGAATTATTTGATGAATTATAATTCAGGTATCATACCACAAGAAATTAAAATAAACCATGGATTGTTTTCTTTTTAAAAGGGCAACTATTTTAATATTTATGGGTTTTTTATTCATGGGGGGGGGGGGGGTCAAGATTATCTTTTTATCTAACCATAATTTTTCTTCCTCATAATGGTATTTTCCTTTGTGTCATAAAGTGTCTCCAATTAATTCTAGTAAGCATTAGTAGTTGTTCTTAACATTTCATAGCCAGGCATTTTGTATTCTTTGAGGAATCTGAGTTAATATTTCCTGGAATTTACTGTCAAACCAAGAATATTCTTGTAAAAATTCCTACAATTAGGGATAGAGGAAGTTTTCACTGCATATGATATATTTTCTTGTTTTGTTTTATTGATATCTACCCAATCCTATGAAATGAAAAAGGACACAAAGAATAAAGACAGGTTGCAATAGCAATATGTTGGTTCAAAATAATGTGGATGGCGATCGAGTTAAAAGAATTGAATCTCTTTAAAAGTTAGGAGAACAAATATGGAAACCCTCTCCTAGGATGGTCAAGATTCCTGAAACTTTTGTGTTATGGTCCCAACTTTGCCTCCCTCCCAAAGACATTTATCCAGACAATCACATCTTGACTCACCAAAGCCCTTGACAGGGCCTGCTGCTTCTCTTCCTTGCTGGAGTGTTTGCCCTTCCACACAAAGATCTTCGTACCACCTTGGTCCAAGATGTAGCAATCCTAACAAGAGACAAAGAAAGTTCCTGTTTTAAGGTTATTTTATTAGGAGACAGCTGTGTCTCCTAAGATTGTTTTATTAGGAGACAGCTGTGTGAACAGAATATTTTTTCCTGGCAGATATTATTGTCAAATTCTGGCTCTACCCACTGCCTCTGTGACTATGGAATAGAAAGATTAATATCATTTACTATCCTGTCTTATGATTCACTTGCTGAATATACAAACAGATAGAATAACTCTACAAATTCTTCCATACAAAGTTTCTTTTATTGGATTATATTATGTATCCTCAAGGTGACTCACAGTTAATGTCGAGATGCATCTAATGTCCAATTCTTTGCATAGTTGAAATTGTAGTGTAAATGATATTAATCTTTCTATCCCATAGTCGCAGAGGCAGGGGGTAGAGCTGCCACCATGGCTTTACCCCCTGCCTCTGTGACTATGGGATAGATGTTCAGGCAAGAGTGAGGGAGCCTCCCCCCACCCAACAAGGGTCCATTTAGTGACCAAGCAGGATTACAGATGTGACCACATGACATGGACTACATTTCCCAGGATACCTTAACTACATTTACCATGATGCATTCCCTTAAGGGGACAGTTCACAATTCCTAACTAACTATCCCATTAACTCTAAACTGTCTGGACAGCACAACACCCTCTTTTGCTTCCCAGCCTGGGATTAAAGTGGCAGTAGAAGGTGTCCATTTATGAGCGTTGTGCACTGAGGTATTTCATTGCTTCTTCCCTCCACCAACAAATGTGCAAGTTCAACCTAATGGAAATCTCTTACCTCATGCTTCAGAAGGTCTTGGGTAAGGGGCTGGATGGCAACTTCCTGCACAAGTAGATTCCCTTCTACATCGGAGACACTTGGAAGAAAGCGGAGTGTTGTCACAGAACAAATCTTAAGGGGTTGTTTACCACAAGGCTCCCCAACCCCCAGGGTGTGGCCCACTACTAGGCCATGGGTCATTTGGAACTGGGGCGTGGAAACAGTGAGCACATACCCACATGTGTGAGCAACGGGTGAGTGTGTGTGTGTGTGTCTGCAAGCTCCATTTGTGGGAGCAGCAGGCCTGCGTGCCGCCGCTCACGCAAATGGAGCCCTGCGCATGTGTGGTTGCTTGCCAGCCGCTTGTGTAAAACCATCCCCTTCTCCCCTCCTCCTTCCCCTCCGCCATCCTCAAAGCCAGAAAAGTTGGGGAACTCTGGCTTACAACCTAAGATCTCCACAACAAAAAATGAAGATTGGGCTAATAGGGGGACCTCATCTTTTAGAGAATCTCATACACAGATTTATATTTTTTTTCCCCTCAGATATATGACACATGATTTTTGTATCCCGCCTGCACAAAAATCTGATTTTTATATTACTTTTAAGCTTTCATATTATGGTTTAAAAGGATCGATGCAAAGAGCAGGGAAAGGGGGAAGATTCTTTTTTTAATGCTTTCGTTTTGTTTTATTGTTGCAGCTGCAGGGAAGTCCTTGCCGTCCCCAAAATAGCAGTGTGTCTCCCCAAACACTGGAAGGCAAGGGAAATCTCCTGTAAGGCCTCTTTCCCTATCTTAATATTCCCTTCATATTCCTTAATATTCCCTTCAAATATCTAAGGACCGCTGTTTCTATTGCAGCCTTCCTCAAAGTCTTCTCTTTCCTGACCAGTTGTTGATGGGGGCTGTAGAGTAATACATCTGGAGGGTTGCAGGCCGTAAAAGGCTGTTAGATGTCTTCTGTTACTAACCCGTATAACATGGCTAGTTTTTACGAACTGAAATTAAGAAACATTTGGCAACACTAGTATTACCAAATAACAAAGGTGGGGGTCTCAGATTGTTAGAGTAACTATCCTGAAATCACTTGAAGTTCCATGGTTGTATGAAGAGATGAATCAGGATTGCCTGCCCCACAAATCCTGTTCATGTGGCCTCCAGACTTCTCTCTAATTACACTTGCCCACAAACAGCAGTGCGGCCTTTCATTGCTTGGAGGTGGGAACGTAAAAGTTTAAAATAGCATTTTATTTATGTAAATATCCTCTAATGCTGTATTTGGTAGACGTGCAAGAGAACAAAATAGTGGATTCACCCACATGTATCGTATGACATCTTTGTATTATTGTCCTGCTTACCATGTTTCTGCCCTCATCTTTCTAAAAGCATTAAGTACAGCCCCTATTCAGTAGAGAGTTATTTGGCTAATGCAATGTCACTGCAGAATAAGGGTAAAAATGCTTTATAGGGAACCTTTATTTTCTTGAATACTGAGGAAATTATCATTCCCATTTGCACCTAAAGATTTGTCCTTCTTTCCTGCAATTATATCGTCCACGCAACATGTTTGCCTACCTCTGGCTCCCAGAATAACCTGCTAGTAATACTCACTGGTATAGCTTTAGAGAGGATTTCAGTTTTTGGTCCACTACAGCATCTGGAATGGCCGGTTGGATGTTTCTCTTCTCTCCAAGCATATAGAACATGATTTTCATGAGTGCAGGAGATGCATCTTCATTTTCACCATCCACTATAGCCACCTGTGCTCGGCCACCACGCTCTCGGTCACGAATGTCCTTGGCTAGATTCATGCCCTATGGAAAAGGTCACCATCCCAAGCCAACGTTAAAAGTTGCAAAAGAAAATCAGAATAATGCTGAACTAATAAAGAGTTCTAGAAATAAAACTGGTTACTAGATTGTGGCTCAAGCCCTACATGCTTGTGTAACACACACACACACACAGGGAGACCAAGAATTTGGCAACTTCAAGTAACTCATAGAGATCTCTGGATTTTGAAACAATCATACAGTAGATTCCTTGACATTTGATTTCATTCCTGCTACAGGAAGAAAGTGAGTATGACTTTTTTCATGCAACAGAATTTGGAGGAGGACAGATGAGTGGAAATTTCTGAAGAAAGTAAATTATGAGAATGTTGTTCAAAGTGAAGGCATTCTTGAGTCGTTCATGGGTGTAGAAATAAACTAGAAGCTAGTTAACATATGGAGAAGTGGAGAACAAAGAAAGCATCAGCTTTAAAATTGGCTAAGCTATATTACTAAACATGTAGCATGTACCTACTCAAAATATTCTTCATATTCTCTCCTGTTTATTTGTGCTATTGGTTCAAAAAAGCAAAGGGCATGTCCTGAAAAATCTTATGTCTAGAATATAACCTGGGGGTGTGGGGGGGGTGTTGCTAAGGAGAGATGCAATTTCCAAAGATGAACCATTTACAATTCCACAGCAATCTCTATTTCTTTTCTCTCTTTTTGCAAATTCGCATAATTAAAAGACATTTCAATATCTTGTGGTTAAGTATACCTATTTGAGGAATAGAATGGACAAAAATGACAAAAAAATAGCTTTTTGAATGCATTGAATTTCTATTCCTGAATGGCTGTTTGCTTCCAAAGTGAAGTATTTCTCAAGATGATTCAGTAAATATTCCATGGCAGCCTTTGAAAAAGAAAGAAATTATGCCATTGTTCTGTTTCCTTTTTTTCCTTAAGTGATTTATGTCACCCATCTCAACACAGAGCCTCTAGGCGGCTAACAATACGTAAACATATAGCAGCAAACCACAACCACCACCGACCAAAAACAATATAACCAAATATCAAAGAATACACATAAACAAAACAATACAGATGATATACTGGTAGTGGCTACATTTGCTCCCGACTTCAGTTTCTAACATGTATGTACTGTTAGCTATATGGATTCTTGCTTTTCGATTTCAGGTATCAAATTTCCTTATACCCATCATTGTGCAAAGCTCAACATCCAATCTCCTCTTTCCCTGCCTCTCCACCCAGCTTCCTCCATTTCCACCTGACCCACCTTCAGCCGTTCCAAACGGTTGCTTTCAGGACCATTCCACTGGATGATGAGCTTCCCCAAGTCCAACAGGAAGACATCTCCCAAATTGAAGCTGTTCCAGTTCATCTCCACCTATTCGAGACAAGAGCAGAGATGAGAGAAGACTAACGTAAAGGAAGCACAGCTGGATTCTCAGAGTGGGATGTTCTGGGGTTGGCGGGGAGGAGAAGACTTTACCAAAGACGGAAGCACAACATTTGCAAAAGTAGTGATCGCATGGCTATGTCATGAAGATAAAAGTGCTAGCACATCTAAAAAAAGTAAACATTTCATAGAAGATTTGTATCATGCCAGTGTACAGGGATGAATAGGATGTTTTAGCACCTTCATAAATGGTAAAAGCATCTAAAGAACCTGGTATTTTAACCCAGGAGCTTTTATTAGCAGCTCATCTACTAGTCCTTGCCGTCCCCTTCCCCTTTGATCTCTGACCTACCTCTCCAGCCACTACATTTTTCTTCCCCTTGACATGCAGTAGCCGTTGCACGTTGTAAGTGTTGGTTTCCACGTGTTGCATACCTGAGGCCACACCACCCTTCTTATAGCTGCAGAAGAAATACAGGGTCATATTGTGGACTGCAAAAGATATAACTCCACCACGATAACAAGTTCAGTCCTCCACAAAAGGGGGAAAAAATGTTTCCCCGGTTGTATGTAAAATAATCAGATATTTTTTTACTATCTAATTCCATGTACGTCTTCCATGTTTTTCATACTTCCTATTTCTATCTTCAGGCCATTTAGGCAATCACCTTTTTTTCAAGCTGCTCCTTGTTATAAATATCACACTAAGTCATAAAACGGCATGCTCCCTTTTGTGTGAGCCTAGCCCTTCTGAACGGAAGCTATGATGTATGGCTTAGCATGTTGTGTGAACCCAACAAATATAGCTTATCCAACAAAATGTGGCTAAGCATATCAGAGTTTGGAGTCCCCATATGAACTAAATCATAATAAATCCACAAATATTCATACCCGTGTTTCCCCCAAAATAAGACCCTGTCTTATTTATTTTTTTTGTCACCAAAAAAGGCACCAGGTCTTATTTTCAGAGGGGGGGTCGTCCACTGACTCACCTCACTGGATGCATCACCCCCAGCTTCCTTTTCACTGTTAGAGGCCTTCAGTAACTTCTTCAGCCTTCGGATAGTTGCAGCTAGGCCTTGCACACCTGGGCCCATTTCTTCTGCAGCCAGCAAAGCTTTCCTGAAGGCCTCTGTAGTCCATAACAGAGCTTCAGATCAATCCAAAGCTCTGTTATCGGCTACATAGGTCTTCAGGAAAGTCCGGCTGCCACTACTAAACCAATTCTAAGTTTCACCCTATAATCGTGGTAGCTCTGCCCATCCACATTAGTTCTGTTCTGTTTCGTTTTTCTTAATTCCAAATATTGAAGACCAAAATTGCATTTGGAAAACACATGAAAAACAGACATATTTCTAAATCCATAGCAGATCTACTTAGGGCAACTGTTGCTAATCAAGATAACTATTGATGTTGATCTATTCAGCATGGGCAGCTCTACTCTTGGATGAAGAAAAAGAAGCCAGATTTTAACCCCAGCTGGGTACTGGGTAAGTCACCAGAATTATGCAGACTGGTCCCAAAAAGATGGCCCAGAGCCTTACGTACACAAGGCCTTGCTTGAAGTGACTCCGAAATGTGTCACTCTCATAATTTTGAGTCTCCCGGTGCTGTACAGCAGCTCCACCCAGGTGCTCATCCATTTGTGTTGTGTAGATGGCAGCTGCACCTTGTTCATCCTGAGATGATGAACTGCCCAGCCAGAAATGGATGTCATAGGTGAACGTATTCTGAATCTTCTTTGTCTGAGTTAGAAAAAAGAATTAGCTAAGATCAAATCAAGTTTGTTTGTTTCAAAATCCTGAAAAGCTAAACTCAGTTCTGTAAACAACACAGTGCCACCCATGATATTAAGGAAGCTTGCTTACTACTATGAATAGCAACCCACTGTTGCATTTCACTTATATTTTTCTATTGTTATTCAAAACTCCCAAGTCCTGGCTCTCTTTTTTAATGCTCAGCTGTCTTGGTAAGCTTGTAACATTTAACCTACTTGTATCATATGCAAAGAAATAAGGTATTACAGGGTTTGGGCTTTGATCTAACTCAATTTCTTCTGTGCCTCTACCCATCTGTTATACTAGTATCTGCATTTCGGGTCATCATTATGTCAATAATCCAGAATATGTTCAATGTAAAGAGATGTGTATGCTCACATTTCACAAATAATAAAAAGGCGGGAATGAATAGAATATGAGAAATAGATTTTGGATGTCCACCCTAGTTTTTGGCCAAATATAACTTTCAGTGCAGTTTCCAATAAGCAAAAACAGCATAGTAGTTGAGCTAACATTTAAAGAAAATTTAAAGTGTAGTAGCTTTTAAAATAAATGAGAAAAAAACCAAGCTTTAATTTATCACTTGACTTTAGCCTGTTCAAAGCTCTTTTTGTACTTAAATACTTATAGCAGATTAATCGAAGTCATTGGAAAATTCCATAGCCAATTCTGATTAAATTTAACTCTAACCAATTATCTTGTGGTGATTCAAAAGAAATCTTTTAACCTAAGGCAGAGACAAATTATTATTTCCAGTTTGAGTAAGAGTGGTGCCTAACCACACCTGAAAATTAATGCCAGAGATGAGCTTTGACCTGGGTGTGCACTGTGTCTTGATTAATTACAGTCTTCACTGCAATACCTGCTGCATCAGCTTTCCACAGTTTTTCACCTATGCGCAGATTTTAAGCAAGACCTACGTACTCATATATTTTGCATTAACTACTAAGACTACTACTACTACTACCACCACCACCACCACTACTACTACATAATATATAACAACGGTTCTTTCCGGCTTTGCAGACCGGCCAGGGTGGGAGGCGGGGGGAGAGGGGACAGTATGTGGCAGGCAAGCACACGCAGCTCTATTTGACACCTGTGCAAAGGGAGTGTGTGCACATGCTCACATAGCACTTGTGCTAGTGGGAATGCGCATACACGTTCTCGCACGCCCCTTCCACGGTCTGGTTCCAAATTGTTCAAGGCTCTGGAGTGGGCTGCAGCCCAAGGGTTGGAGACTCCTGATATATAAAATCAATATAACGATCAACCATGGCAAGTTTAGACAAAAAAAAATATAAACCACCAACAGCAAGAAAATCAAATTTTGCTTTTTGACCTAAAGAAATGATCAAAAGATGGGAACGTAAATAGGAGTGGTTTTGAAAACTACCTGCCATTTAATGAGAGTTATACATAAGCTCTGGCAGGTAGCCCCGTGTTAATGTATAACCAGTAATAAGAGTAGGTAACATTCCTCCTGTTCTAATTCTGCACTATCAATCATCCAGGATTAGTTGAACTTCCCTTGTAAAAAAAGCAAGCTTTGCCTATCTGTGTCAAACGTTTTTAGATTTGTCCCTAGTTGTGCACAAACTTCCGTGTAAGCCACCTTCCTCCCTCTGAGCTTATTATGTCCCAGCATTCAGCCCGCATAGTTCACGGGATATGAAACACCCCTCTCCTTTTCTTAGTTCCTTTTACCGAAAGCACAATATAGGCATCCCCTTCATAGAAGCTCCCGTAGGTCTTGGGTGGTATGGGCACCATCTCCATGTTCTGGAAGGAAAAGCAGGGAAAGAATCAGGAGGCTTAAAAACAAAAAAACTAGATCTCTCATGTACAGTTTAGCCCTCGACTTACAACACGGTTAAGCCCAATTCCCATTGCTAAGCAAGGCAGTTGCTAAGTGAGGTTTGTCCCAGTGGTGAGATTCAAATTTTTTAGCTACCAGTTCTTCGGGCGTGGCTTGGTGGGCGTAGCTTGGTGGTTGTGGCTTGGTGGGCATGGCAGGGGAAGGATACTGCAAAATCTCCATTCTCTCCCCACCCCACTAACCTGCTTTGCAGCTCTGTTCTCCTCTGCAGGACAACAAAAGAAGACCCAGCCTATCAGCTGGGACTCGGGAGGCAGAGAATAGATGGGGGCGAGGCCAGTCAGAGGTAGCATTTGCCAGTTCTCTGAACTACTCAAAATTTACACTACCGGTTCTTCAGAACTGATCAGAACCTGCTGAATACCACCTCTGGTTTTGCCCCATTTTACACATATTTTTTTGCTACAGCTGTTAAGTGAATCATTGCAATTGCTCATGAATCATGCAGTCATTAAGTGAATCTGGCTTTTGCCTGTCAGAAGCCGGATGGGAAGGTTACAAATGGTGATCATGTGACCCTGGGACCATGCAACTGTCATAAATACATGCCAGTTGCCAAGCGCCCAAAATGCGATCACGTGACCCTGGCAATGGTCATAAGTGTGAAAACTGGTCACAAGTCACTTTTTTCAGTACCATTGTATCTTAGAAAGGTCACTAAAGGAATGGTTGTAAGTTGGGGACTATCTGTATTCTCTCTACTTGTTCTGCTTGTTTTTCCAGCAAATTTCTTCGGCTTTTAAAATATATCTTTTCTGCCTATGGAGATTCCCAGTCATCCAGGTCATGGTTGCCCCCAAACGAAGGTGCTTTTCAAAAGGCAACTGGACATTCTTAGCTATTTTTTTTTCCCCTTGAAGACATTTCGCTTCCCATCCAAGAGGCTGAAGAACTGAAGAAGCTTCTTGGATGAGAAGCGAAATGTCTTCAAGGAAAAAAAAAATACCCAAGAATGTCCAGTTGCCTTTTGAAAAGCACCGATTGGGACAATTTTTTCTGTCCTTCACTTGAATCCTATATATTCAACCATATTGCAGCCAGATAATACTATCCTTCTTCTGAAAATTCTCTAAATTTTTTACAGGATCTCCTGATTTTTTCTTGATGGGGAAGGTGGGGAGAGTTGATACACAATATAATTCCTGGCCATTCTGATTTGTTTATGCAATATTGTATTACCTGAGTTTTAGACGGCTCTAAGCCGTTTATACTTCAACAATGCACATCATTAAAACCAGTTATTGAAACAACACAACGGTCCTCATTGTGTAAAATAACAACCATTATACAATGCACTCATTATCCATCAACGTTCATTCACAGCCTCACATTCTTGTTTGCTGAAGGCCTTCCAGAATAAGCAAAAAAAAAAAGAGAGAGAGAGAGGGATTTTTATGAGCCACCACAAGGGAAGGGGCTGTTCTTGGCCCTGAATGGAGCTGTTTCATAGGAGGGGAGCCTTCACCAACATGCCCACCTCTCTGTTCCCACTGGTCAGGTCTCCTAACAAGCCAGCAAGCTTGGAATTGGCTAATAAAAGCTTGATCACTTTGCTTAGCTGCAAAATGAGATCCACTTTACTTTAGAAAACCATGCATGCAAATAGCATCTGCTGGAACCCAGAGATATTGAAAGAATTGCACTGATCAACAGGAAGGGATAATTCAATCTTTTTCCCCCCCTTCTACACTTGCAGGAGGATCCTTTCTTTAAAGCATGGAGAAGAAAAACCCTTCTGTCTGCCATGAGGATTATCCAAACTTGGCTGCAAAAATCCAGGCAGTCTCTAGATGGCACCAAGGCATTTGCTACCAATTAATAGTTGCCTGGATTTTGCATCCCATACAGATAGTCTGGGGGTAGGACTGATCTTAACAGCTGAAAATGGACAGCCCAGGTTTGAGACCCGAAACGCTGCACGACGGGGTGAACTCCTGTTACTTGCTCCAGCTCCTGCCTGCGGCAGTTTGAAAGCATGCAAGTGCAAGTAGATAAAAAGGTACCACTTCAGTGGGAAGGTAACAATGTATCGTGTGCCTTGGCACATAGCCATGCTGGCTACACAACTACAAACATGTCTTCAGACAAGTCTGGATCCCTGGGCTAAGAAATGGAGATGGCCACTGCCCCCTACTCCCCGAGTGAGACAGAACTGGATAGGGGAAACCTTCAGTTTTACCTTAAAGGTAGTCCTTGACTTACTATCATCATTGAGATCAGAATTTCCATCATTACGCAAGGCAAATTTTAAATAAGTTGCACTCAATTTTACAACCTTTTTTTTTGTTGCCGTCGTTGTTAAATGAATCATTGCAATGATTAAGTAAATATTGTGGCCTTTAAGCAAATCCAGCTTTCCCTATTGACTTTGCTTGCCGGAATTTGGCTGGGAAGGTGGGGATCGCATAATCCCAAGGCACTGCAAACCTTGTCAGTGCATGCCAAATGCCAAGCAAACAAATTTTGATCACATGACGATGGGGCTGCTATGTCGTCTGTAAGCACGAGGACTGGTTGTAAGTCACATTTTTCAGTGAAGGTTGTAATTTTGAACAGTCATTAAATAAAAAGTTGTAAGTCAAAGACTACCTGTATAAGGTAGCCTTGCTTAGAGTACAGAGCAAGCTAGTCACAAGTGGCTTCCTGTATAAATGTCAAATATGTAGAGCAGAATTAAGTTGGGAAACATGACAAGAGGAGTGAAAGGGAGGGGGCAGCACTGTAGGCCTGCTGAGTCTTAACTCTTTCCCTGACTTACATTTTTTCCCCCTGAAAATTGCTTCCCATAAAACATGCCCCGATTATTACTTAAAATAGCGGATTGACTACCAGCTGTTGAGTTACTAGTGTAAACAGTTCTTTCTATTTTTTTTTCCAGTTTGCATTCATTTTTGCTGTTATGATTATAATCCACAAGAACATTACTATAAAAGCCTAACGGATAAGGCCAAAATAAGCATTTAAATTTGAATTTATTAAAGGTAGCCAGTATGTTCGGTCTTGTTCTTTAAAGAATTCCTTTTTCTGTAATATTAATATTAGATCTCGGTAACACCTTTTTGATTTTCCTGAGGATGGTTTCACCCTTTGGGAAGCTACAAGTTGAATAGCTCTTGGTGGAATATTGGAATATAAAAATGCCATCAACTGCTGGTTTCTTCTACAGAGTACATCTGTCCATCCATTCTAGGGACTACTGTCCATCCATCCATGTGCACTTTTATGCATATTCACATTCATTCTCACCTCAATTCTCCATATTTGAAGTCCAGGTGTGGTTTTGTTCAGAGTCTTGGTGACTTTGGTATTAAGTTCCGGCATGGTGACTAATCCTTTGTAGCTGGATTTGGACAAGAAATGGAAAAGAACATTAACAGCCCAGGACAAAAATAGTATGTGCCAAGTGACATTTGAACTTTCCAGATGTAACTCGACTAGCCTTGGAATCCCCAGGCTTCATCTCTACAGTATACTCGATTCTAATTAGTTGGATATTGCTAATTAACTTATTTATTTTTTTAAAAAAAGACAAACACGGAATATCTTACCATTTGTATTCATTCAGCTCAAGCGCTTAAATGAATGCTTCGTACTTCCTTGGGATGCTAAACCTGTACAGCTTGAGCATCAATAGTTAGCAAGTCCAGTTTTGGAGAATTACGATCTTAATTATTAGGTAGACAAACTCAGTGAAGTATATATCTTAAGAGAGACTGAGACCACACAAGGTTTTGCCTTCATCTACTCTGTGAGATTCTGGCCAGGCCTTTGAGCATCCTTGGGAATTTTCCAGTAAGGAGAAAAATTCCAATGTGAGATATAATTATCAGTGCACTTAATGCACAATTACTGCTGCAGGACATTTGTGTAATTTCCTTATGTATATGCTTTTTCAGTAACATGCATACAAATCTTAAAAATAGATTTAATTAAGCTTGGAAGACACTATTTTTGTTGTTGTGCATTTGACAATTTCAGAAAATTTCTGAGGAAAACAATCCCAAATTCTGGAAGTGGAGCATGGAAATCTTTATCAAGACAAATCACTGAACCATTTAATTCAGTATTTTTTTCATTGACTGGCAGCATGATTTCAGATGGGAATCTCTTCCAGCATTATCTGGGGACGTCAGGAATTACATTTGGGGCTTTCTCCTTGCACTCCTGGGCTGTATTCATTCCCTCACTTCTCTTACTCTTGGAAACATTAATAAATATTCTCTGGAATAAAGCAGCAGAATCTGTGGGAATGCCTTTTGCAATTCAGTGGGGGGAGATTGCTATGTCTAGCATAGTTTGCTATCATGTTGACAATGATCAACTTTCTATTATGTTGGCTAACATAATATAATTTTTGAATTGCTTCAGTTTTAAACCATTGAATTCTTTTCTCAAAGTAGCTGAACTTTATATCAGGGTTCAATATAAGAAGTAGGCAGGGGTGGGATTCAAATAATTTAACAAGTGGTTCTCTGCCCTAATGATTTCTTCCAACAACCAGCTCACCAAACTGCTCAGAAAGTTAACAACCGCCGGAAGTAGGGTTAATCAACTGGAAGTAGGGCTAATCAAATGTGGTCATACAGATACTCCTTGACTTACAACCATTTATTTAGTGACTATTTGAAGTTACTACGGCACTGAAAAAAGTGACTTATGACAATTTTTATCTGTATGACGGTTGCAGCATCCCCATGGTCACATGATCAAAATTTAGACGCTTGGCAACTGGTATGTATTCATGACAGTTGCAATGGCTGAAGGTCCTGTGATCACTTTTTGCAGCCTCCAAATGGAGCTAAGATCCATTTAAGAACCACATTACTCTTTTTACAAATGCAGGGATTCACTGTGGTGTGAAAGCTCGTAAAATGGGGCAAAACTCACTTAATAGCTGTCTTCCTTAGATACAGAAATGTTGGGCTCAATTGTGGTCCTAAGTCAACAATTACCTGTATAGTTAAACCTGACTGATAATGGAGACCCAAACGCTTCAGCTGTTGTTGGAGAACTGATTTCCCGATATCTGTTATACCATTACCCACCTGTTCCTTGAAATAGGGCAAATCTAAGCAAATGCAGCTATTATCTCATTAGGGACCCTAATTCTCAAATGACAGCTTTCAGAGGAACCTTCTTAGGATCCCATGGAGAAGTTCACTTGGTTCTTTCTGAATCTGAGACTCTTCATTCTGCATTTTTTGTGGGGGGCAATTCCCTTTCATCCAAAGCATGGCCTAACACATCTATGGTCTGTGGGAAGCTTTTTCCTTCCTGAACGTGACTCTTTCTCCCTCCAAAGGTTCACACTGATTCTCTAGCTAGACCGTCTGTCCAGCCTTTGTGCGAACGTAATTTTCAGAAGGGTCCTTGATGTCTTCATTACCCGAACTAGGTAACTGATGCTGTTATCTAGTTTAGGTAATGAAACATCTGCAAGGGAACAAGAGAGCTCAGAGAGCACCAAGGACCCCTCGTGTCACCCCTGAGCTGCAAATGTTCTCCTTTATTGGTACAAAATTAAGAGTTACGTGCAGGGGGATTCCGTTATCATCAGTTCAGAAAGGCTTCTCACCCCGGGAGAACCGATGACAGCACTGGAGAGCTCAAGGGATGAGAGCAGCTCCAGAGAAACCTCCTGTTTGGATTGTAAAGCTTGTGGTTTGTCTTCGGCTATCACCCTGCAAACACACAGCTTTCAGTCCTTATCTTTGAGCAGGGCAACCGTGGGATTATATAAACCAAGTTGGAGCGAGGAGAAGCTGAGCGTCAGGCTCCAGCAGACTGCAACACCCCCCACAACCCATTCCCCACAGTTCCTGATCAGGCCCAGTGAGGCCAGTGCCAGGAGCTGTCCCTCTAGATCCCCAGAAGAAACTTCTTACCTTGGCTGGGCTGTCTGCTTAGTGGGCACGCAGCACCTTGGAGAAAGACTGTGCCTGAACAGAGGAAGTGCCAGGGCAACCTTTGTTCCTTCCTTCCCTCTGTCGCCACCAGCCTTTGCCATATAAGGGCAGGAATGCCTAGGAAAGTAAGAAGGAGAGCCAAAGTCCCTGCAGATTCACCTGAGTTGTGTCCTTGGCCTGGGTAAGATCTAGCTTGCAGTTGAAGGGCTACTCACCTGTCTTCCAGAGGAAGCTGGACTCACCTGTGACCTCCAGAAAAACAAATGCAGCCTGCTTGCCACTTGATTTTGGTAACACCCCACCGCCCCTTTTTTCAATCCTGGTCCGAAAAGATGGGTGGATGGTTTATTGAGTGTCAGTGAAGAGCTGAAAGTTTGCCTTCAGACTGGTCATCATTTCATTGCATTTAATTTACTCTTCCTCCTTGGTCCATGTCTTCTTGCTAATTTGGAAATAACAACCAGATGGTCAATTGCCCCACTAAGGCTCAGGATCAGGGGTGGTATTCTACTGGTTCTGCTAAGCCGGTAGCAGCAATGAGCAGCCGAAACCGAACTAATTCTCTCTGTCGCTCTGCTGTTGGGCCCACCCGCCTGCCTGGGCTTCCATACCAGGATGGGATTCTACCAGTTCGCACCTATTCACTGGAACTGGTTATTAACATTCTAAGCAGTTTGGAGAACCTGTTGTTAGAGGAAATTGCTGGCCTAATCCTGTAAGGAAGGCAGGAAGGAAACATTCTGGTGTTGCTTACAGAAACTGCCTCTCTGTTAACTCTTATTATGTTCTTGGCAGGACTAGACTTCCTGTCTCAGGAACGTCTCTGGAGTTTTTTTCCCCTCCTTTGCTGGTACTTTGCTTGTGTGGAGTGACCATTAAAAGTTACAATGGCACTGAAAATAGTGACTTATGACCATTTTTCACACTTACAACTGTTGCAGCATCCCCACGGTCATGAGAGGCCAGGCGAGATGTGGGCCTCGATGTGAGTGATATTGAGTAGGCCACACCCAGCCAATAACATGACCACTAAGCCATGTCCACCCAGTCACATGACCACCAAGCCACGCCCACCACCTAAGCCACGCCCACAGAACTGGTTGTTAAAAAATTTGAATCCCAACCCTGTCCCATACTCACCTTTATCCTCTGATTTTGAAGCGCAGCTGCTTTGCGTGGCACAGAAGAGTGTTGCGCGGCAGCTGCTGAAGCGTCCGGGATTGTGCAGGATTGCAGGAGGTGAGTTAGAACACCTCTGCACCTGCAGAAATGCCCCTGCCTCTGTGCAAAGTGTGTGTTTGGTGCACGTACACAAAGTGTGTGCACGTGTGCAAAGCATGCCCACCAAGCCACACCCACCAAACCGATGGTAAAAATATTTGAATCCCACCACTGCTCAAGATAAATCATTTTCTTCATAATGATGATATACTCCCCAAAGGAGCAATGCTTCTGTTTTTCCAAAACATTATCGTTCTGTTTGTCTTGTTTAGTTTATATTATTCTTATGTACTGTTATTTATTACTTATTAGTTATATTTCTATCCTGCTTTTCTTCCAAGAGCTCAAGACAATTTATATGGGGCTATCCCTGCAATTGATTGCCACAAGAGGGTTGAGAGTGAGTAATTGGCCCAAAAGTCACACAGTGAGTTTCCATGTGAAACTGCACCTTCCCAGGCTTAGTCCAATATTTTAACCATGATGGTTGTTTGATTAGACAGTCTGGCAGCCATTTTGTGAAAGAACATTCGTGAGAATTAGGCTTATTCTTTTATTAACTACCCTGTGAACATAAATCTAATTTATCTGCTGTGGAAAAATTACTCAAGAGTAAAGAAGGTTACAAAAGATAAGCAGGCTAAAACTGTCCAATTGAAATGCAGGTCCAGATTTTCTGAGAGTTAATAGCGTGCAAGAGTCCACGATGAATCCAATCAAATGAAATATTTTTATTACGATCATAGATCAGAAAAGAGTACAAGGCTGAACTATTGTCCTCTGGGAAAAGTTCATTCTTTTTGTCTGACGGTAGTAGTAGAACATCATAGGGAGGAGACAAAAAATGCCAAAGGAAACCTGACCCTGGGTAGACCAGTGGCAAATACTTCCCTTGTGGCCTCAAATTTCAACAGCGCAACAATATCCTAGTGCCAGTTAGTAAATCCAGTATTCTTAGTAAAGTAGATACAAATGATTCCTGCCTTGTCTCTAGAATATTTTTTTTTCTGCTGTGGCACCCAGCCTGTGGAACATCATCTCCCTTCACCACCCCAGGTGAGAATGGCCCCATCTTAGTTGTCTTTTCAGATGTCCCTCAAAACATGAAGTGTCAACAGGCTTATGGGTCTGAAGGAAATGGTGATTTAATGAGGTGGCTCATTTTAAACGCCTGATGCTCTCACTTAGCCTTTTAATAACAATAATGTTTTAATTGTGGTGATTTTTTAATATTATTTCATTTTTTTATTGTATGCCACCCAAAGTCAGATTTTTGTGAAATGGGCAGCCACATAAATAGAATAAAGATATAAATAACATATGTCAAGTTTATGAATTTGATTTGATTTTGCAGGAACGTTTTCTACAACGTAAGCACAATAATCACAAGTGAGACAGGAGTTGTCCTTTGGTACTTTTCATACAGCCTGCTTCTTACCATGATATACTCTTTCAGGGTATAGTATCTATATTTACTGAACAATGGCATTAATGAGAGAGAGTACATCTTTTCTCTTTTATCCCAAAAGGTTATAGTTTATTCACATTTCAGTTCTAGAATCTAGTGTTACAGCTGTTCTTGGATTGTATCATTTTAGAGAACAGGTAGAAAAATGATCTTTGGAAAATCAATAGATATAAGGAAGGAACTATTCTCTGTCCAAACTGTTCTCTCTCCAAGAGGGAGGGAGGGAGAGAGAGAATTTGCAGAAGGGAAATCTATGTGGAAGAACTTTCAAATAAGCTGAAGTGACTCTACTAACCTCATGGATTATTTCTACCAAATAATTTAGTAATCTATTGTCCTCAAGTCCTCTACATGCAGGTCTTGGTGTGTTCGGGTCTTTTCCCGTGTAAGATTGAGGTTATCTTGGTGACATTTCGGTGAGGTCCCACTCGCCATCCTCAGGCTGGTGCTTTTGGCTTCATGCCAGTACAAGCAGTGTGTGATCGGAGCTGCCGTCTCTCTATAAATACTGGTGGTGGGGGCTGGTGTGCTGGGCTGGTTGGCTGTGCTGCTGCCTCTTGATTGGTTGATGGAGTTGATGTTGGTATAATGAGCTGTGTGATGGCCTTGTGAGTTTTGTTGTGGAGATATCCTGGATCTTGTGCTGTAATTTCCTGGGTTGTTTGTTTTGTAGTGATCTTTTTCCATTAGTCTCTTCCATTACAACACGGGACACCACCACCAATCCCCCTGATCAGACTGAAGGCCAAACCCATCCTATAAACAAAGGATAACCACCATCCAGAAACCAGACCATGGCTGCTTCACCAGCTGTCGCACCCCCCAACCCCAAAACCAAACAAGCTGACACACACCAAGAATACAGACCCAGACCCCAAACTCGAAGCCAGACCAAAACCCAGAATGCTATATCACAGCCACCCACTCAGGATATCACATCAGAAAACTCAGGAAATTACACCACAAGAACTCAAGAAGTTGTAACACAGCAAATGACCCAGGAAATCACAGCACAAGACCAAGGATACCACAGCAATAAATCTCACAAGGTCATCACACAACCCATTACCCAAGCCATTACAACACAGGAGACTAATGGAAAAGAGATCAAAACACAAACAATCCAGGAGATTACAACGCAGGACCCAGGATACCACAACAAAAGAACTCACAAGCCCATCACACAACTCATTACCCAAGCCGTTAAAACATGAGAGGCTAATGGAAAAAATCTGGGACATCATGTCTCACTCCATCCACCAACGCCACATTGCACCATAGACTGTCCAAGAGTTGGGGATGCTTTAGTCCAGGTGTGGGAGGAGATCCCTCAGGAGACCATCCGCCACCTCATCAGAAGCATGCCCAGGCATTGTAGGGAGGTCATATAGGCACATGGAGGCCACACACGCTACTGAGCCTCATTTTGACTTGTTTTAAGGACATTACATCAAAGTTGGATCAGCCTGTAGTGTTTCTTCCCACTTTAATTTTGAGTGTAACTCCAAATCCAGATTTGATTTCCATTGATAATTTTTGTGTGATTTTGTTGTCAGCACATTCAACTATGTAATGAACAAAGTATTTAGTAAGAATATTTCATTCATTCAGATCTAGGATGTCTTATTTTTGTGTTCCCTTTATTTTTTTGAGTAGTTTATATACTTATACATAAAGATATACATATACATATACATACACATACACATATACATATATGTTCTGTGTCACCTTTCCTCTTTCCCAAAATATGAAAGAGTACAAACTCACACCAACACAGGCAGGCAAGCTGGCTTGGACTTCACAGAGTTAATTCTTTGGAACTGATCATATTCTTGGCATTCCCACATGTCCTGCCAGCCAAGTCTGAACTGATAAAGTTTTACTCACAGAAAATCATGAGGCAGTCCACAAAAATAGTCATTCACGAAGAAAATCTGAAGTAAGGTTAAACTTTGTCCCGTTCAAAGTTTCAGGAGAAAACACACCCACTTTTATCCACTGTGGGGTGTGCCTCAATGACTCAGCTCACTCTCTGACCCTCCCACGCCTCCTACATTGCTGCTCACGTTTCTCCCTACGACGCTGCTTAGGATTGAGCCAACACTCTTCCTCTTTACTCCCTGTCAGGGGCTGCTCCAATATGCCTTCCTCCTGATTAATCTCAGGCTGTTCCTCTCAGTTGTCTGATGGAACCTGAGGCATTATCAGGGAGGAAGGTCTTGGGGAGGAAGGCATTCCCAGTTCCTCCTCCTCATCTTCCAGATCTTCTTCCTCTGACAGCATAGGCTCGGGAATCGAGGCCACAACACACACACACACAAACACACACACACACACACACATATACACACACACACACACACACACACACACATATATAATACATATATACATAGTGACATATTTCTTTGTAAATGTAAGAAAAGATTCTGTTTATCTTCACCATTAAGATAGCAGAAATAAAATAAATCACCAAATGAAACTCTTACTCCCTGTGCCAGCAGGCAGAAGGCTTTCTGAAAAGTAAAACTGTTCA